CCCCCCCTTCCTGATGATTGCTTCCACACACACTTCCAACCCAAGTCCAGCTGGAGATTGTAAAAAATAAATGGCATGTTCAGAAAAAAAAAAATTGGCTGTTTAATTTCTTGCTTTTCATCTTTGTTCATTTTCTTCATTTGTTTTTTTTTGTTTTTTGTTTTTTGTGCATGGCACAGAAACGCAGCTAATTGGGACCCAGGTGCGGCATGGAACGGGTCATCCAGGACTTCCTGCGAGAGGGGCGCAGGTACACGGACGGCCAGGTGGCGCAGGCCTGAACATGAGAGGCCAACAGGCACACACAAATTATTTTTTTCTGCTCATTTTTACGGAAATGATACTGTAGAGAAATGTTCTCATGCTGAACCACCCTTCTCACATGCATTTCTGAAACACTCAGATGTCATGCTCCCATGCCGAAAACGGTCTCATGCACTACCGAAACAAGTTCACACACCACTGAAAGTTTGAATGCTCATATGCACAACTACTAAAACAGTCTCATGCACACTCTTGAACCGCTCTCACATACACACCGAAATGCCCTGTACCGTTCAATAGTTACCGATTATTTATTTATTTTTAATTAGTAACTAATATTTGTCTTCCGAATTCCATCAAACAATTAAGGAACGGGATGAGTTAATGATAATCCTGCTCCAATATATTTGAGAATAATGACTTTGACAGAAATGAACGACACAATTGAATGAGCCAATTTGAGGACAAAAACAACAACGTCAATGCAACAAATGAGAAGTCCTCCTCATGTGAGCCGCATTTCCAAACGGAGTGGGGCACCCCGTAATTTGCCCTCCCATGGTCCTGAGTTTGACTCATGGCGCTGTTGTTTCTCTCGTTGATGTCAGCGACGGAGGCTTAGCCAAGCTGCTTTGCCCTTAAATAATCAAATTGTTCACAGTTGCTCTCGCCTCCCTGGAGCGGCGTTGGCTTGATTGTAAACAGAAAGTCCCCCCAAAAAAAAGAAAACTACACTTATCAGGGCAATCGCGGTGTTGCACTGATGAAAGCGCTGGAAAAAATAAACCAACTTACTTGTGGCAGGTGCGGCCGTTTGTTGAGTTCATGGGAACCAAAACGACTTCAAGTTAATTTTATGACGTAAAGGACGTTCAGGGAGGCGGACATATTATGCAATTTTCTCCACCGTTTAAAACTGTAACCAAATGACTGCTCGGGAAGAGAATGCAATTTGGAGAGATTTGTGGGTGTTGGCTGAAATGCTGAATGAAAAAAAAAAAACACAGAGGCAAGCAAAATGATATGGAATGAATGAAGAATTTGTGTGTGTGGGGGGGGGAGTGGTGAAATATTAGTTCACTGAAAATGTTTTACATTTTTGGTGTTTTGGGGGAATTTTTGGCACGTTGAAAACTGTCTCAGTTGTGAATTGAAACAGCTCAACACAAAAAGAAGAATATAGAATTTAGATGTGCACTGGATTTGTTGAATGCGTTTCAGGGAATGAATAGTGTTCTTTTTTTGTTGTTTGTTTTTTAGTAACTAAATTGGTTAGAAATGTAGAATGTGAAATTTTCAAGGAAGGTTGAAGATCAATTGAATGAGCTGAAGGCATGCGGATTTGAATACGGATGAATTTAATCCGTTTTTAAAAATGTGAGAAACCGTTGAGAAATGTGGTCGGGGTAGCATGTCAAAATAAAAGCTTATAATAATAATTATGACAATGTGAAAGATGTAGAATCAAATACTGTACGTGCGAAGGCCAGTGTGCTGTGTTGGATGTGTGCCTTTAAGGGGCGTGGCCCAGTGATTGACATCAGAAGCTGAGCTCGTGTTTGCCGGCTGCTCTGCGTGTGAGCATCCCGGCGTGAGCTGTGGCCAACGGCAGGTTTCTGGCTTCAAGTGCCTCGGTCCCCGGTAGCTGTGCCTCCCCTTTCCCACAGGCGAGGGCATCATGGCACCTTCATTGCTCGGTTATTATTTCACTTCTTTCGGGGTAAAGTGAGGACAATTTGGGAATAACCAAGTTGTGTCGGGTGAGGGGGGAAGGACGTCGTCCCCACGGGGGCCGCCGCTCTCTTTTCAGCAGCATGTCATTTTTTTTTTTTTTCCCACCGCCACCCGATAAAAGCTTTTACGCCTCACTCGTCACCAGGAGGGCGACAGCCGGAGCGAGAGGGCTTAAAAATGAGCCGCCAGCGAAAAGCCATCGGGAGGCTTAATTACACATAAGCTCACTTTAATAAGCGCTGGATCGTATATCCCAGGCGCCCATCCGCAGACCAACATCTGGATGATCGCAAATGCCAGCGCTGAAGGGATGGTGGCAACCCATTACAGATATACTCAGTTACTAGATGAGTAGATTTTTATTTTATTTTATTTTTTAAATATCGGCTTCAAAAATACGTTGAAGCAGACATAAAGTCACTTGTTTCAAATTTGTTGTTTTGTTTGCCCATAACATCAATTGTAAATGTTCTTTTTAGGAATGTGCGACATCGTTTAAAATATTTCATGTTATTTATCTTATTTTTCATTGCAATCTTTTCCACAGCGAATGCTAGCTTTGGTATGAACAGCACAGAAAAAATATAAATTTAATTACATTTTTTTAAATTGGGAAACAGCGGCCACTTGTGGTATTGGCACGACATAACAATCTCGTCCTACATAAATCCTAATCGAATTATGACCAAACAGCAAAGAGTTTGTTTACGAAAATTTCTAGATGAGTGTTCTCGCAGAAAAAAAAAAAATTCCAAGGAATTTGAACGACGGATATCTTTGACACCACGTTAGCTCGACGGTGGGTGTTGGCGGGGGAGGCGCCGGGGTGGTGTTGGACCCTCTCGCTTGTGTTTGTGTTACGCGAGTTCATTTCAAGCAAAATTTATTGCCGATGATATTTACGAGCCCAGAACGAAAATTCATTGGGAGATTGACACATTAATGAATATAACATGCAATGTGATTCATCGGCCTTCGGGGAAAGCATCTGTTTTCTTTGCGCCATTTGTCATCGGCCGAGTGGAGCTCGTGTTCGCGTCCGTCTATTGACATTGATACTGTGTGTGCGTGTGTGTGTGAGGTCTATCGTCTCTTCACTCGTCTGGTAATTACACAGTAGGCGATGCAGCTCCGTGAATACATGGCCGCACTTTTTTGGCGAGATGGGAATCCCCCCCCCCACTTCCCCTATT